AGGCAGCATCCTGACCGGGGATCGAACCTGAAACCTAGGCATGTGCCCTGACCGGGAACTAAACCGCAACCTTTTGGTGTACAGGACAATGCTCCACCCAACCGAGCCACCCAGCCAGGGCTCATTCAGTGTTTGTTTGTTTTGTTTAATTAAATTTTGAAACACGGTTCCTGACAACTGATATGAAATTGCTTTTCTATGGATCTGGACACGTACCAATAAAGAAAGTTGTCTCTAGAGCAGTGGTTCTCTTCTGGCCCTTTAAATACAGCTCCTCATGTTGTGACCGAACCATAAAATTATTTTGGTTGCTACTTCATAACAGTAATGTTGCTACTGTTATGAATCGTAATGTAAATATCTGATCTGCAGGATGGTCTTAGGTAACCCCTGTGAAAGGGTCGTTTGACCGCCAAAGGGGTTGCGACCCACAGCTTGAGAACCGCTGCCCTAGAGGGAAGGCGGGGCGGGTGTGTGTGAGGGGGTAAGAGATCAACCAAAGGACTTGTATGCATACATATGAGCAGAACCAATGGACACAGACAGGAGGCAGGTGAGGGCATGTGCTGGGGGGTGGGGGCGGCCAGGGAGAGGCCAATGGGGGAAAAAGGAGACCCATGTAATACTTCAAACAATAAAGAATTTAAATTAAAAAAGAGAAAGATGTCTCATTATGTGGAGGCAGAGACACTCACACGATGTGGGCCAAGTTGAGCGGCTTCTCCGGCTGGTCGGGGAACATGGGGTGCAAAGGCTCTCGGCTGGAAGCACAGCTCAGGGACTTGCTTAACGCGTTCGTTAGCTTCTTAGCTGGTGATTTCTGGAAAGAAGAAGAAAGACGGAGGTGAGGACAACTAACATTTATGTAACATTTTGTCAGATGATTTGCTTTCACAGTAGATAATCATTCATTCATTCACTCAGTCAAGCAATCCTCTTTGAGTACCTACTCTAAGTCGGGAGTCTGTACCTACTCTAAGCCAGCCAGGCACCTGGCTCCCACTGCTTAGTGACACATGGGGTGCTCGGCGGGCACGGGACCCTGAGCGGGGCCTTCGTGGACAGCAGGAGTTGGTCTGACAGAAACTCAGGGGCTGGGAAGGTGATTCCAGATGGAGGAAGAAGAGGCGAGCAGGAGGCCCATCATTAAAGTCCCACAAAGTCACATAAGGACTGTGGCCTTTATCTCCAACATAGGGGGGACAGTGAAGTGTTTAAATCACGGAGGCAGCATCATCGGACCAGATTCTGGAAGGATTGCTCCCAACTCAGAAGGAAGGAGGGAGATGAGCAAGAGGCTTTGCAGGAACCCAGGGGTAAGGTGTTCCAGGCGTGGTAGGACACACCTAACTAAAGGCAAGAGTGGAACTTCAATCTGAGTCTTTTTATCTTTAATATATTTCTTGTATTGATTTCAGAGCGGAAGGGAGAGGGAGAGAGAGAGAGAAACATCAATGCTGAGACGGTCATTGATTGGCTGTCTCCTGTATGCCCCACAAGGGGGATTGAGCCTGCAACCTGGGCATGTGCCGTGACCAGGAATCGAACCGTGACCTCCTAGTTCACAGGTCAATGCTCAACCACTGAGCCCTGCCGGCGGGTCCAATCTGAGTCTTGAGAATTTAAAACTCATGTTCTTTTCAGAGCATCATGCTACCTCTTTTTCATTTAGATTGGTGGAATGTTTACTTTAAAATTCCACAGCCAAAATTATAAAAAATAATTTACCACATGTAATTTACTCCTTCCCATGAGTAACCATTTTTAATTTTCCTCACTTTCTTTTACACGTAGAGCCAAAAAGTGGTAATACGTGGCATTTATCCTCATTCTTTAATAGTAGGAGCACTGTTCAAGAAGCTCCACTGTGGTTTTTGCTAGGAGATGTAATTCTTAGAACGCTTACATCAGTAACACAACAAAGCTCTTCACCGCATAAATATCGGGGCCCCTTCGTCTTCTTGAGGAGTTTGATCTGGCTTTAGTAGAGACACTGCCCTCCTAAATAATTTTAGAATCTTCAATCCCCGAGAAAAAGGCTCATCTGATGTTAGCATTTGCATAAAAGACCGATAAAAAATGATTAGCCTTCAAACACCAACCCTCCAGAATTTGGGATAGAATAAATTTGAAAATTGGTCCTATGTTGACAATAAGAAAACAGAAAGTTTTTTCTTCTATATTCTATAATCTATACTAAAACGTGTCTCACCATCGGTGTCAGTATATCCTCAGCATATGATGTGACCGACAGTGACAGCGGCCTGGGAGCTGGCATGAAGCCTCAGTGTGTGATGTCTCAGTGAAGCACTGTCCCTTGAACTCCGAGTCTGACAGGTGCTAAGCAATGGACATATGTACACTGACCATGAGTTCCCAATAATCATGCCTGGAAAGAACACTCCGACTTAAAACGCATATTCTGAAGATTTTCCTTTTTTTTAAAAAAGCAAGTTACTCTTTAAGTAAAGACTATACGTTGAATTGAAACACATAAAAAAATGGGAAAAAACTCATAAAAAGTTTGCATTTTCTTGTGGGAGAATTACTTCAAGAGGAGTGGGCAGGGCTGATGGCATGCCCGTCCCATGAAGCACAAGAACACCACCATTTGAGCAGCAAGTTCACGGAGGCCAGTCCCTCCGTAGACCCAGTGCCATGTGCCCCTGAGAAGACCTCCAGCACAGGGACGGCCACTCCCGGGTCGCCTTCAGCAGGTCGCTCACCTGCACTACTCACAAAAGATGATTTGCTATTTAGCCACAGTACCCCTCTTCCCCAAAGTAAAACGGAACAGCATCATCAAGCCCACACGCTCACGTGTCTCTCCTCTATTTTCCAGTTGTGCACTTAAGAGAACTCCAGAATCTAAGAAAAAAGAAACTAGCAACCATTTTTAAGCAATTCCCACAAAACACAACAACTGGCAAACCAAAACAAAGACCCATCAAAGGTTGAAAAGAACCTTAATTTACTGTGAAATGATTATGTTCCAGAAGGCGCTTGCTGTTTGGTTGTTAGCTAAATCAGTACCGAGTGATCTACATTTCAAGAAGTAACGAAATTTGAGTCTTCCTATAGTTTAAGTCACAGGAAGCTACAGTGGGCTCAGATACACTATGAAAGAGATCCCAGTAAGATGCGGTGGGTTTGGAGGGAAGGGGAAGAAGGAATGTTGACTACAGGGTAAGTGTACCCCTGAATTCTGTCACCCTCTCTGATATTCCCTAGCATTCTGGGTCGCACGCACACATCCAAATTTAAGCACGCTTGGCCCTTGCCTTACCCATGACGTGTACTCTTTCATTTGGTGCTGGTTGCTATGGGAACCCCCAGCATGTCCCCTCCAGAAGCAGTCCTGGCAGAGCTGGTAATTGTGACACTGTTGGCATCGGTAGCGGAATCCCATCATGCTCTCGCTGTGGCAGAAGGAACACTCCACCGGGTGGAAGACTGAGGAGGCAGCAAATGAAGGAAAAATAAGAAAACCAAAGTGCGAGCCAGGATAAGGACAAACACAGCCTGACGGGGATGGCGTTTCTCTGCCGTGTGCCCTGATGCCAGATGACAGTCGGTTTGGGCTGAGAGAAGCATTGTTTATTCCAGGCATCTCACTGCCCTTTTCAGGCGTGTGTGTGGAGGTGGAAGAAATGAAATGAGGTGGAGGATAGGTGTTCTTTTAACAACAAGTTTCTGTGATGCCACTTGCTCTTTCTACTCCCATCTCTTACACTACAAGAATATAAATTACCCCAAATGGCCCGTTTACCCCCCAAACTGCTCTCTGTCTCCAGGAGGCCAGCACAGTCACTGGCAGACTCAGCACCATGCATGGACACGGCTGACCATCCAGTGGGGAGAGAGCAAAAAGGGAGACATGAGAAAGGAAAGGGAGGAAAAAGAAAGGAAAATGGAGGGAGAGCAGGAAAACTGGATGAGACAATTGAGTTATTTTTTAAAAATGAAGCAGCTAATGGGCTTATTTAATGAGTGACATTGCCTCCATCTAACAAACAGATTTGTTTTCTTTCCTAAGAGGCAGATGGGCAGGGCCCAAAGAGACAAGTAAATGATCTGAATACAGTTCTAATCAGACAGCTCAGGAGATACAACTGTCTTTGGCAGAAATTGGAATCATAAAGCAGGTAAGGTAAAACAGTTGACATTGAAAGCTAACCAATGATCAAATCCAAGTAACTGTCTCTACGCTATGAGCTAAAGATTGAAAACAACAGCAATTCTTGCCTTTGTCACATTATTCTCTGGCAAACCAGCCAGGGAAAAGAGTGTACGTGAAAATAAACGAAGATAAAAAGCCAACTGTAACCATAAAGGCATAACCAGCTCTGGAGGTAATGCCTTCGGACTAAGCATTGGTCCTCCCTTTTCTGGCTCCTGGGAAAGGCAGGGTGAGCCCTGGTTTTAGAGACAACTGCTCGGGGACAGGCCTGCGAAACCCATTTCCTGCAACAGGAAGTACTGAGCTAGAGGGTGAAATTACAGCCTCGTGACGGAAGGTGACTAGCCCTGAACTGTGACCAGTAACATGATCTCAGGTTGCATGATCTGACCTTGATTGCTCTTTGCTTCTGCGGATGAGTAAGAAACATACAAAAATAAATCTATGCTTGGCAGTGATTACAGAGCACCGACTTAATTCATTTCTAAAATCTTCTCCATGAGCAAAACAGGATACATTTATTACTTTTAACTGAGAGAGATAATAAGGGCAGATGCTAGATGTTTTGAATGGGAACATAAACTTAAGCTGACTTTACCTCCAATGTATATTAAAGAAATGTGTAGGAGTTAAGATTCTAGTAAGAGATATGGGATAAATGATTTTCTATTTAAGTCTGGAGAAATCTCAGACTTAAATTGAATAATAAATAAGAACATCTAAAGATTAGAGAAGGAGGCACTGAATTGCTCCATGTTTAAATTTCTTTAAATCTCGTTCTGAGCTGTGGTTTCCATTTAAGCTTGGGTGTATCAATAGTTACTCCTTTTAACCTAGACATACTTGCCCTTGTAAAAAAGCACATTTCAAAAGTTAGCATGGCTTTTGTCTTTTACATAACTACAACCACCGAAAGCTTATAATTTGGAGCACATGACAAAAGATGAGTAAGCTTCTCTCATGCATTTTTTTCCCCTTTCTCCTCCACCTGTTCTTGGCCCAGTGCCTACGAAGAAATCGTCAATGCCAAGGTAAACCAATATTGGGGATCCAGACCTAAAACAAATACTAGAAAAGATCACATTCCTTATTGAGATTCCTCGAATGTATCAAGTCTTTAAGCCACATCTGACCTGTAACTGAGGGGTACACAGTGAGATGGAATAAGCTTTTAGCACTAACTGTCTTAGCTTGACCGTGCACCCATAGGCCTTGTTAAAGATCAGGGAGACTGGTTAGTTGCATCCTAAACAAAGCTCAGAACAACAAAATCGAACTCCCTAAAACAATGACCTTGGCTTGATAACCGTAGAGTTGACCAGCTAATTTCAATGATTAAAAAGCTCGCCTGCGCTCAGCAGTGACTACTCACCATTCTCTACATTTGCCAGTCGATGCAGAAGGGGCAGCCAGACCAGGCACTGTGGGGGAGGGTCTGACATGAGCGTGTCCAAGAAACCGTTTAACGTGACCTTTTTCTGCATAAAAAACAAAACACAATAAAAAAACAACTCACCAACCTGTGGTCGTTTAGAACAGAGAATACGCTTAATTTAGCTGCTCTGCAGCTATCATTTGAGATAGAACAGGACGTTCAATGAGCCTCTATTGTATGAAGAAACAGAAATTTGAAACTAAGTTCGGCAGAATTTAAAACACTGAGTGTGTTTTACACTTATACACACAACTGAATTATCTCCACTGAGGCCGAGTCAAGGTGATCACATAGAGAAAATTCTGGAAGCGTCACTTGCCCATGGGAGGGACAGTATGAAAATGACGCGGAGAGATGGACTGACATTTCCATGAAGTGTTACCCCGCTGTGGGTCATGGCACCTGCCACAGTTCCCACATCAATCTCCTGCATTTGTAGAGTAACTTCTCTTGTATCAACCTCAGGTGAAACCTCACTCAGAGCCCTAAATGTCCCATGTCCTGGAAGATTTAGGTAGCTGTGTCTCTCATATTTTGGGACTCCCACAGTGCGATGCGGCATGGGCCATACTTTTTCGTCTTCTTTGACAAACACTGGTGAAACTTGGTGTTGCGTCAGACTTGTGTTTCATGTGAGGCTGAGGGACATTTCAGCCCTTTTGGTAGGGCAGGGAGAATGACCCGGAGACTATAGGGTTGTTGTAGGATTAAACTCGACAATGCGAGTTAACAGCTTGGCCTGGAGCCTGGCTCATGGTCAGTAGACATCGCCTATTATTATTATCGAGGTGTGTGAAGTTTAGTGACTGATTCACAGGACATTCGTCAGAAGGTAGAAGATATGCTACGGGTTATCGCTTATCTGAGAACTGCCTGGAGTGACACACAGGAGGAGAGCAGCTGCTGTTCAGAAGCTGCTTCCTTACACAAGCTCTTTCCTACCTGCTGAGAGAAGCAGGACCTGGCTGACTGTTCCGTGTAACCGAATGAGGGCCCTTCAAACACGGCTGTGGGCAGTTTGAGGACTTCCCGCAGGAACTGGTCATAGCGTCCATAAACCATCACCCCACTGGAGTCAGAAATCATTGAGAAAATATCTGATAGGAGAAACAGGGAAGATATTTATAATTCACGTAAACATTCCCCACTGTTTCAGTTCAAAGTATCTGTTTCAAACAACACAAATGTGGCAGAATAAATCGTGTCTATGAAAGAATAATGGAAAAGCTATTTTTTATGCTGAAATATTTCTGGCACGGTGTTTTCTTTGGTGTCTCTTTGTAGATAATTCTGGCACATAGCCTTAACTGGTAATTGGGATAAGATTAGTATATTTTGATAAGACAGAGCATATAACATTGCTATTTTGAGGTCAATTACGAACTCATATATAACCCAAGGCAGCAAATTTTGTATATGTGAGAAATATGCTGATCTTGTTTTTTTTTTCCAATGTAACTTTATTTTAACTTCTTTTTGTTAATCCTCACTTGAGGATTTTTTCCCATTTATTTTTAGAGAGAGTGGAGGTGGGGGGAAGAGAAAGAGAGAGAGAGAGAGAGAGAGAGAGAGAGATACAGAAACATCGAAGTGAGAGAGACACATCGATTGGTTGCCTCCCAACACACGCCCCAACCAGGGCCAGGTACTTGCCCTTGACCAGAATCGAACCTGGGACCCTTCAGTCATTGGATCAATGCTCTATCCACTGAGCCAAACCAGCCAGGGCTATGCTGACCTTGTTTTAAACACACAATGAAAATTGTGTTATCGCACTGGTGTGTGTGTGTGTGTGTGTGTGTGTGTGTGTGTGTGTGTCTAGCTAGAAAGCTATACATATCCATATTATCACTAAAAAGTTTGGGTTTTGGTTTAAGATATTGAAAAATGAACGACACAAGGCGGATAAGGAGGTAACGAAAACACTTGATTAACTCTCCACAGGAGCAGAAAACTTCCTATAAATCGTATGTTCTGGGTGGAAGGCATTTGATTCACAGGGAAGGGTCTTTGAACTCACGCAGTCAAGAGGCAGCCTGGCCTTGTGGTGACCAGTGAGGTGGAGCCAGGCTCTGAGATGACTCTCAGCAGAGCCTACGGCTTCACTGAACCTCTGTTCTTCAGCGTCTGCCACTGTGCGCACTTAATGCATATTAATGGCATAACTTCCCAAGGAGCTTTACAATTCCTCTGTGGAAATGTCACCACTGGAACGAAAGGGTGTCCTATCATAGAGTTTGCCACCATGCTGGAGTGTAATGAGGCCAGCCCAGCTGCTGGGGTAAACTACTGGCAATCCAGTGTGCTACCTCTCTTCATTTTGGGCTTAATTTTTCAAGGTGGAAATGTAATCTGGAGACATTTCCTTATACCGCAGTCAGATGCTAACCACATTACAGACTTTTATTGAATTATGTGATGAGGATGTGAATTGGCTCTCATTTTCTTGAAATACTCCCGTTTTAAAGGATTTCTACTGTGTTTCAAATAGTTTATCAACCATGAGGCTATAGAAATTCTACTTGAGCAACAAAATTAATGTTCTCATCCACCGTCACAGTGTTGTTTACCTAATGAATCTTATCTCTTGTGTTTCATTATAATTAGTCAAAAATAAAAAGGTTGCCAAAGGCAGAACTACAACTCTTTATGTAATTCCAAATATAGAAACTCGAGAATTCCAATGAAAGGGTGGTGGGGGGAGGAGGTAGAAGAAACCTAGGAAAGCCAATGGGCGTGTGTATTAGAGCTGCCGTTTTGTTTGTTTTTAGGCAGGTTGGTTTGCGCATCATTGGGCCATCCTGACGATCTGCTAGGCTTGTCTTGTCTAGGCCAGAGCACATTTTGAGAAGTAGACGAGGCCTTCCAGATCTTCCAGGAAAGGATTTAGACAACATCTCTAACTAGAGCGAAAACAGGAGGAGTAGCAACAGTGAACTTTCACAGACGTGAAGCTAATATGAGCCTCATTTATGTTGATGAAGTTTGTGAAGCAACAGCCAAACTGGGGCTCGGTCACTGGGATGATAGGGAAGTGATGGTTAATGCCACTCAGCTTTTTAAAAATAAATGAGGGGACTCTGAAGAAGCTATCAAAGTAAGTGTACCTTAGTTCTAAGCTCACTGTCTTACATATATACATATACATATGTAATATGCTTATAGTATGTAATACGCATGTATGTATACCAAATGGAGGGCCATTTCAAAGATGAAATTAGGTAACAGGTGGAGAACCGAAGATGGCGGCATAGGTTAACACCAGAGATTGCTGCCTGGAACAACTAAGTCAAATTAAGCTTGATCCAGGGAAAGGACAATGTCCAGAGCCACAGGAGGGCTGGCTGAGTGGAAATTCTACAACTAGGAGTAAAGAGAATATCATATCCAGTACATATATACATATACATATGTAATATGCTTATAGTATGTAATACGCATGTATGTATACCAAATGGAGGGCCATTTCAAAGATGAAATTAGGTAACAGGTGAAAAGCACAGAGATGTAAAGCACTCAGCTAGTGCGTGGCACCTGGCACACAGGAAAGGGTAGCTATTTTTATTATTAAATTTGAATCACATTTTTTTCTGTCTTTACTTCATATAGTTCCCTCCCTATTGGAATTGTTCTGCAAGGTCCCAAATGATACTCTAACCACCTTTGTTTTTCCTATAGGGCCACACAATGATAGATGCTGTAGAAGAATTTATATTTGTTGATTTACTCAACTAAAATGAACTTAGCTCGTACTAAATGTGTGTAATGGTGCTCAGCAGTGAATACACAGAAAAATAAGCAGGTCCTAGTCTTGCCCTCTGGGAGGTCCAAGTCTGTTGAGGATGACAGCAACATGTGTACATCATGCATCACAGGGCAGCATACATTATAGCATGGTGGCGTGAAGATGGGAGTAGTAGGGTGTACAGGAGCTCAGAGAGGGGGCTCCCAGAGGCAGCAGTGGGTCAGGGAGGGTTTCCTCACAGAGGTGAGTGCTGGGCCGGCATCAAGGACAATCAGGGTTAGCCAGGCTTAGGAAGCTGGGTCAGGACGTGCGGTGGCATATGCTCAAGCACAGTGCACGCGCCAATCTGCAAGTAGCTCACTGTGTCCGGAGCCACACAGTGCATGGAGGAGGGGAGGTGGGCAGGGAGAGCTTCCAAAGCTCCACGAAGGAGCGTAGATTGTGTCCAGAAGATGCTGGGGAGGCACTGAAGACTTTAAGGCAGGCCAGTGAGTTAGAGACACTACCCTGGGGACAGGCGTGGGGGCAGAACAACCAGGTGAGTAACAGAAGCTCAACAAGCACACGGTGCTTGGTGCTTGACGTCATACTGGTCTTCTAAAGAAAACAAAGCAAGCCTCCCAGCAGCTCTAGGAGAGCACTTGGCATCCCAGGCCCACAGCATTGGGTTCAGAATTCCTTAAGGCCCTCAGGACGACCCGGGAGCCCCGAGCAGAAATATAAACAAGCGCTCCATCTCAACAAAACAGCAGGCCACAGAAACAAGCAACGAAACAACAGCTATAATCACAGCAAGGACAATTCGACAGGAGGACTGTATTAGGTCAGTTTGTTTAGGGTGCTGAGCCCAGTGACTGCAGGGGGTGCGCACACTCTCGGCTGCCTGCAGGTGCACAGGGAACACGCCGGTGCTGACTGGCTCCTGGTCGCCCTGAGCATTGGAAATTGTGCTGCAACCGGGGTTTGTTGTCCCTTCTGATGCATTAAAAGCAGTTTTCAAAACTCAGCTTTACATTGTCCGTGGTTTTTCTACTTGTTTTGCTTTTGACAATTTCTAATTTATTTGTAGCCAATTACTCCTGCCACACCCACTTGTCCCCGAGGGGAGCTGAGTGGAAACACGGAAACCATCAGGGTCCTTGATGGCACAGGATCAACCTGGTTGAGGAAGGGCTGTGAGTTCCAAACTGCGGAAAAACGATTCTCTCCAGTTTCCCTCAAACTTATTTTAACATGGGACCCTTTCATCCAGGGGCCCGTTGGCATGACACTGAATAAGTATTTGGAAATGTTTCTTTAGTCTGAAAAACACGCCCCTTTGTCTAATGTCCACAGAGTGACTCAATAAGCAGTCACACAGGTGGGCTTACACCCTGGGCCTCCTCATTCCCATCACAGCGTTCTCTTACTCAACATGGCGACGTAAACTCATGGTATTTAGGCTAAGGGAGAGGGTTAAATGAAAATTTTTCTTTTAAATGGCAGCATGTCCATCATTTGAAACGGGCTATATATGAAAATTCTTGCCCCCACACCTCCACCCTCGGGCCACTGAATCAGAAATGCTGGGAGTGGGATCCAAAATCCATGTTTTAAAAAGCATTCCAGGTGATTCTATACATAACACGGGTACAGGGAAAATAGCCAGGCTTCACATCGGGTGCCATTTTACTTTTAAAGTATGTAATTTACTTTAACTCTCTGAGTTTCAGCTTCTTTACCTTTAGCAAATCAACCAACCAAAACACTCCCACTGTTCTACCCATTTAAAGCTCTCCATATTAGTGACAAAGGTACATAAAAGCCCCATAATCACTCACTGTACTGTGGCTATCATGCTTTGATTGGTGTCCAGTTAATTCTCAGTCTACAGTGTCACTACGCAATTACCATGCCCCCTACCCTGGGCATGTTTACTCCGGCACAGTTGGAATTTCTAGCGATTTGAACAGCCCTGCCTGAGAATGAAGAAACATACCGGGATCTTGGCTTTGGATTATCTAAAAAAGGAAGGCAGTCCTTCAAGTCCTTATAATGATGGGCTTGTCTGTAGGACAGTACAGTACAATGAACTTGAAAGAAAATACATCTTACTATAATATCACAAAGTCTAGTTGGTCACACTCAACAAGTTATCAATAATAATAATCTGTAAGTAGAAGGGAAACATTCCTTTCATTAACACTTATCTAATATGAAAATATTTCTATCACAAAATCCAACCATCAATGAAGATCAATAAAGATCATATTTCAGCCTGGCCAGTGTGGCTCAGTGGTTGAGCATCGACCTATGAACCAGGAGGTCACTGTTCGATTCCATGGTCAGGACACATGTCCGGATTGCAGGTTCAATCCCCAGGGTGGGTCATGCAGGAGGCAGCTGATCAATGATTCTCTCTCATCACTGATGTTTCTCTCTATCTCTCCCTCTCCCTTCCTCTCTGAAATCAATAAAAATATAATTTAAAAAAGATCATATTTCAAACAACTGTCACAACATGAGGAAAGTCACAGGTGAGCAGGGGGACATGGCAGGACTGAGGAAGAGGGAAATGTGGTGTGGAGGTGAGATAAGCGAAGAGAAACTCGAACAACTTACATCTTAATTTGTCCATGATCTTCCCTCCACACAATGTGGCCAAAGCCATTTTGACAGCAAATACTGAAATTTTGCCATGGCCTTCCCTGTTTCATGATAACAGAAAAGAAAAAAAAAAAGATGTCATTTGGAGAACTTCCAGTAACAAGGTTTGACATTTTCTGTTCTGTAGCACTCACAGGACAGCTGATGCATTATGTGAACAATCCATTTAGCAAAGGTTGTGGATACAAGTCAACACACATTTCCAAACAACTGTCCAATCAGTTTCCTTCTTTCAAGAGCCAGCAGACTCTTCAAGTTATTCTTTGTAGATGGCAAAAGCATGGACTGGCAGCCAGAAGGATATGTATCATTTAAATATGGGTTAAAGTCACAGAACATGGGTTTCATAAAATAGTTTTATTAATGACAATTCCACCATTTCTACAATTTATTTAAACACTGCTTCCAATTTTTTTGGTCAGTGAATTCCTGACTTTTGTTAGAGTAACTATGAGGACTTTTTAATCACACATTTTTTTCCCCCCAATGATCATTTCTTTCCCACAAGCCAACTGTACTTAGGTCGATCCACCTACTTTTTAAAGGGAGCTGGTATTTTAAAGGGACAAAAGTAAAAGCTCTTTTTGACTGGTTCTCCTTCTACCTAAATGCCACCAGAGCTGCCAAATCTTCATTGATTTATGAAGCATAACTAACTTGCCCTTCACAAAGTGTGATACAAAGGGCATACTGTAAGAAGTGTAATATTCCAGGTAATGACTTTCTAGCTGGAATAAACTCTTTATTCTTACGTCCTTAGAATCAGAAAGTGTATCATACAGAATTAGTAATTCACTGCTTTGATACTTGTTACTCTTAAGAATGACTAAGAGTTATTTAAAATAATAATGTGGCTGAAAGGTAAGTGAAGTCTGTATTGACAAGGGAATAGTATATAGGATGAGTCATTTTTATGAATAAGATTCCTGTAGCTGACATATTAGGAAAATAAGATGTAATAAATAGTTGTGTCTTTGTTCCTTACTAGACTTCAGAGTGAGATCACTTGTTGTTCATTGTTGTTGTTGTCAGTCTTAGCAGAGTGCCTGAAAAACATCTAGCCAAAATGCAAAACCGAATGAACCCTCTGCTAGTGACACCCCCATTTATATTTCTAAGCCTGGACACAAGACTATGTATTTACCCATTGGAAATCTTCACTTGGATATTCCACGTCGAACCAAGTGTGTTCAAAATAGAACTCATCACCTTTATAGAGCTTCCCCATAATAGTGAGCCAATCCTATTACTAACCTGCTCTTCCTCCTCTAGTCCTTCTGATTGTTAGAATCGCTGTGTACCTAGTTACCCAGTGAATCCTGGGATGGGGATCAGGCTTGACTTCTTGCTCTTCCTAAACTCCCTAACACCCAAACACATGTTGAAGGCATTCAAATATCCCTCTTCACTGTACATTGAACTCATTCTTTTCTTCCCATTCCCACTGCCATTTCTTCCAGCAGCTTTTGCTTTAACACTGTAATAGCCTCTTAAATATCCTGTTTGAATGCTCATATCACAAATTCAGCCATGTTATTTCATTATTTAAAACACTTCTTGCTCTGTTTGCCTAAGGATTTGGTTTTAGCCTTTTCAGTCTTCTCCAGTCTTACAGGCTCCATTTCTGTTGCACTGCACACCACAGTCCCCCTATTTAAGGCCTCCGCCCTTCCCAGGACTCTCCCACCCATTCATCAAGACCCAGCTCAACAGCTTCATTCACTCTGCTCTGAAAATAGTTTTATTGCTCACCTCCTGGATGTGGAGGCAATGGCTATCCCCTGCACTTTTGCCTATTATGTGGGATCTACACCGTGCGACCTTGACTTGTTCATTTGCATGTATGCATGTGACTCAACTCCACACTGAGAGACCTTGGGGGCAGGACTGCCTTCTGAGTTAGGTGAATTTCAGTGCTTTGCACTTTGTCTCACACAGAGTCACTGAACAATACATTTCTTATATTAATTAATGACTATTAAGCATTATAATTGGTGTTGGCAGAATTTTGAATGGCCACTCATTATGTTGTTTACTACTTGTAGAGCAGGCATCTATAATAAAAATGCAATCATTTTGTAAAAAAACACCCCATTAAAAGTTATTCCATGTCCCCTGCATTCCCAATTGCATGGATAACTAGAAATATCAAAAAAAACAATTTTTATGAAAGAATTAGTTTCTTTTCCTAAACTGAAACATGGCTCAAGTAAGAATAGGAAAGTCTACACAGTGTGGAGGTACAGGAGTAATACAGAGATAAAGTAGTCTTCAAAATGCAAAGAAATTGAACAGCATTATGTGTGAGACTTTAAGAGCAATATGAGTTTCTCTCAGTGATTCGGAGTGAACAATTTAACTCAAGAAAGGGAACAGACCACAGATGATGTTGGAACAGAGCGATCTCCAAAGGATGAAATGATGAGAGCTCACGGGTGAATGCTTAAACCTCAGCTTTTAATGAAGAAGATCATAGGGAGATTGCCAGTCCTGTATTGTTCCTGGAAATGCAAGATTAATGCTATGAAACCCAACAGTGGTTGTATCGGAGCTATTCTGCCAAATTGATACAATAAATCTCGGTAAATCACCAAGTGGAGGGCAGCTCAATGAGAGCTCTGCAGGAACTCAAGGGTGAAATTAGCCCACTGGAATGTATTGTTATGCAGGCTACGGTGCCAGATGGCAAATGTGACCCCTGTTGGGAAGAAGGAGTCAGAGGTGGCTGTGTTCAGACCACTGACAAACCTTTAAGGAGTTGGAGGAGTGAGTGGAGATGACTGACTCCACAATGGAGACTTAAATACAGATGGACCCTTCCTTTCCTTTCTTTTTGTTTTTGAACATTTTCAGTAGATACAACAGGGTGAAGAAAAGGGTTGGGGGAGGGGAGAGAAAGATTTTCTAAAGGCCTTTGACAAGATTCCGTAACAAAGGCTACTCTTTACTGTCATCTTGGGATCCCTACTTTTGTGTGAAGAAAGAATTGGCATTGGCGGGGGGAAAAAATGGACACATATGTAATACCCTTTGTAATAAAAAATAAAATTAAAAAAAAATAAAAGAAGCTATGAAATGCAAAAAAATAAATAAATAAAAAAATTAAAAAAAAATAAAGAAGTGAGCAGCAGAGAGAAGCTGGCTCCATCCCCAGTGAAGAAATGTAGGAACTACTCTCATTAGAAATGGTCCTTCATCGGGGCCGTTTGACTCGGGAACAGTCATTGAGGCCCGTCCACGGCCAGGAAGTGGAAAGTCAAGCTCAGGAGGACGGATAACAGGAAGCTTTCCGGAGTCCTGTGCTAAGGGCAGGAACGCAGCCTATTGTTCCAAAGTGAGTCAGCACGTGCCAAGCCTCTTGGAGGGAAGCAGTAAAGGCCAACATATGGGGTGTTGGCTGTCGGCCACCACTTGGGAAGCAGCCCTGCCAGAGTGTCCGGCAGAGGACAACCATAGATTGTCCCTAAGGCTGCGGGCCGGGCGCCTCCGCATGGGCGAGCCCTGGAGAGCACCGGAGAACGTCTATCTCTTCTCTCGCTTTTATGAAACGCCATGGCAGCATGCCTGCATGTCACGTGCAGTTCTATGGCCGCCCCGAGAAACACGTCACAGAGCCGATGTGCCCGAGGTCCTGTGCTTCACTGGGAACCAGTGATTGATGACAGGACCACATAGCTTTTCTTTGTAAAGTCAAGCTTTAGTGCAGCTGACATTGTGATAGCATAAAAGACACAGTGGAAGCTTAAAACAGATATTCACTATTAGCCTGTCATT